AAATAAAAATACAACAAAACAAAGATAACATTGCATTTAAAACTAAGTCAATAGGCAGTCTGCAGGGATCCTTACATGCAGACGAATGACCCCATTTTCTATTTGTGTTTGACATGATAGGTCTAGTGCAAAGGTGGGGATTCTGCACCTTCAAGGGCCTCCAGGTGCTCTAGTGGGGCTCTTTGACCGATAATGTATTTGGGTCTAGCTTCCACGGAGGAGACACAGGAGACCATGGTTAAGGAAAGCCCTGAATGAGGTATGGAGCACTTATGAGCGCCACCATTGGGGATCACCAATCCATTGAAGTCAATATATAAGAGGTGGCTGATACCAACACTGTGGTTTTCCATACTCACTGGTAGCAGCAGAGAGCAAACTATTTTGACATTTCCCCAAATCTTTGGTTGTTATGTATCCCATTAACAAACTGTATTATGTAAAAGGCTCATGGGAGGAGGGGAAATGAGTAAACGAGGTTGCTTATCACATGGATGCACAGAGTGCTAGAGAAGGGCATGGCTGGAAATCAAGTACAGTGTGGTCGCCTCAAGCTACTGCTTGGCCATCACTGCCAATCCCACATTCCTGATGCTCCATGTCATTGGCTGCCACTCTCCCAGACTCACAACTCTGAAGACAAAGGGACTGTTTTAAGTTTCCATCACTCTCGTGCTCTTGAAAGGGCACCAAAAGGAGCAGGTTACCAAGAAGTGACTAAGAAGGACGTCAAATGAGTGAATTTATATCAAGCAAACCTGGAAAGTTGGATAATGGCAGAGAAGGTCGTTGTTATTTAATAATGGAGTCAGAGGACCTGGAGAGATTGTCTGTATATAGACTTGTGACCTGGCGTAGACAGCATGGCAGGGTTAACTTCCTATGGCTAAGAAATTCATTAGCTTGTGCCCTCAGCTTATAGCAATCTTGGATAGAACCTGGGGACTAATTTAGTATGCTATGTGAAAATCACCATATTAAATGATGTTTTAACAAATGAGTTGGTGATAGGAGTGACAAGACAGTGAAAATGTGCCTTCAGCCCCTGGGCTGAAGGATTTGGCCACAGTGGAAGCAAAATTGACCCCACCATTGTTGTCTTCCATTGTTAGCAAATTTATGACCGGTCATGATTGTAGAGAAAGAATCCCAAGACTTTTAGCCATTTGTTGACTCCCTGGCTCTCTTGGCATGCCATGAGTGCATAGCAGTGAGGACAGCAGGATGTATTCCCCTTTTCTGAGCTCAAAAAGGAAAGCAATTAGGAGTCTTGGGCGATTGGTGACTCAGTCTCCTAATTAAGCTGGAAAAGTTATTTTTTATGATCATTTGCTGATGAAATCAAGAATATACATCTTGATAGCCATGGCATCATTATCTTAGGATAGAGGGAAAAAGTGGAGAAAAAGGGGAGAAATTTCTTTTTTTCTCTTTTTATTATTTCCTACATGTCATCTTTTGGGATTCTTCCTCTCCCTTCCTCTCCGCCCCCCCCCCCGTTAGTATTCTCTGCTTCTTGAAATCACTTTGTATGTACTTTGCAATAACTTGTTATCATCTTATTCGTGTACATTGTTCATTCTTGCCAGGGGAATATAAGTTTCTTCAGGGCAGAATCTATTTTGTTTTGCCTCTGTATCCCCAGCTCCTTCCTTACCAGTGCTTCCTTACCTGCAATAGGCATTAGAGAACCACTTATTAAGTTGAATTGAAGTATCAGACATGAATTTATGTACTGGGGTCTGCTATTATACACCATCAGTATACAGTAACACTTTTTCTCATACATATAAAGGACCTAGAAGTGTGATTTTGGGGCATTCTTCTCTGATAAGAAGAGCAAGAGTTTAGGTAGGAAAATTTCTGAGAAAAGGTAAGAAGAAACCAGAGAGCGTAGACACTTAGTTATCACTTAGAAAGTCTAAAGTCACCTAAAGTTTGCCTGCAGCCAACGATCATTTACTAAGGACCCACATGTACACGATACTGCATGTGATGCTAAGAATACAAATACAAAAATAACACATTGCCTGCCCTTAGGGAACTTGAGTTCTATGGACCGTGACAACAAGCACACAAGAAGGAAATGTGATGCGTTTAGAAAGTAAACAAGCATGGGGGAGTGGCATTCCTGGCATCAGGGACAGCCTGTGCAAAGACACGGAGGTGGTCAATGAATTAGGAGTTTGGGGAAAGTCCAAAGAGGCCACGATGGCTGGATGGTAGCGTGTGTGAGGGAGAATGGGGGATGAAATCAGTCTGGAAAGATGAGTGAGAGCCTGACTGGGTAGCGCTTCACTCACCAAAGACAGAAGTTTGCATTTTGCTCTTTGAGCAGAGAAATGATGTGATCGGACCCTGGCTTTAGGAATATCAAGCTGGCAGGTAATTGGGAGACGGGTGGGAGAAGGGAATGGCTGGTTCTTTCTGAAGGGCGTCCATTTTCCTGATAGTGCCCTCCAACCCAATGGGAAGAGCCAGAAATTATCCAATCTGCAGGATTGCTATCTAATACTGATAACACATGTACAGATAACTTAATTTTATTTTTGCTCAAGTATCCTCACTGTTCCATTTTTTCCCTTATGAGAGAGACAGAGAAAGAGTGAGTGTGTGTATATGTGTGTCTGTGTGAGAGAGAGAGATTGAGAGAGAGAGAAAGAGGGCAAACTATTAGTTTGGTCTCCAAAGTTGATGCCAACTTGAACTCGACTCTGCCAACAACTATTTGGTTTGGCTCTGCGTGACTCAGGCTGAACAAACATTTGCCTATTTCAGAAAGATTTACCCGGCTCTATAGCGGGCATTGGTGCCATCTGGCATGTCACCATGACTGTGTGGCACAGTCGGGAGAGACCTCTTGACCACGCATTTTTATTTGCCCAGGGTCGCCAGCATTCTGGGCTTTGTCACCACTTTGGGTCAATAAATAAAGGCTTTTTCAGGCTGAAAGCTCTCAAATCTGGGATTCCCCAGTTGATCCGGAATTTCTGCTGCCTTTGGATCTCAACTGCATCCTTGTGGGTAAGACAGGCTGAGTAAGTACCCAAACTGGCCATCAAAAGCTTCAGACTGAGCTGGTCACACAACTAGCCATAAGCTCTAGCCAAACTCACTCCTACCTCCCCAGCGGTACAGAGGCGTGACGCTCATGTCCTATGCTTAGAGAAGTTGTCAAGTGTAACCACCAGAAAACTGGATAAGCATCTTTAATGATGGAGGCAACCGGGTGGCTCAGTGGATAGAGTGCTGAGGCTGTAGTCAGGAAGACCTGAGTTCAAATCCAGCTTCAGACACTTACTAGCTGTGTGACCGTGGGCAAGTCACTTAGTCTCTATTTGTCTTTATCGTTTGGAGAAGGAAATGGCAAACCACTCCGGTGTCTTTGCTAAGAAAACCCCACGGATAGCATTAGTTTGCTATGGTCCACAGGGTCAAGAAGAGTTAGACACAACTGGATGACTGAACAACAATTATAAAAGCAGGAAATTATCACACTATGGTTTTTACACGGACTGAGCAGGCAAGGTCCTCTGTGACATGTAGTATTCCTATCAATCTGAGGGAATTTCCTGCCTGGGGCACCAAGACTTGTCCAGGTATGGCTCAGAGGCACGACTTATACCTCGGTCTTCAGAAGACCATAGATTTAGAGGTGAGAGAGACCCAGGGGATCATCACATCCACCCTGGTCATTTTACAGAGGAGGAAATCAAAGCTTGGAAAGGCGAAGTGATTTGCCCCTGGCCACATGGCCAGAATGTATCAAAGGCTGGACTTGAACCCAGGACCTCTTGACTGTACCCCCTTTGCCATGATGCCTCTTGAACAACTTTCTAAGAACCCAAGTGGCAGAAGTGGTGCCCATCTACATTGGCAGAGAGAGTTTCCTTATCAGCAGCTCCCTTTACCAATGAAATCACAGGCCAGGTTTAAAAAAACACCTATCAATGCCCAATGGCACAGATGTACACGGATCAATCGTTCACTTAATGCATGGCCAGACTTTAAAGTATGGAAGACCCGGGACCTTTTGAGTAGCTGCAGCACTCTGCCCGATACACGCATTTCCACCCTGACTGCTTTCAATGCTGGCTTCAGACACCTACATCCTGCCACTGCAAGGGCCTCCCTTGTGCTCGAAAGCCAAGCCCACCAAACACAAGCTGTGGAAGCTCCCCCAACCCAGGAGAGGACTGAGGCCTGCAGAGCCAGAGCCATTTGGCTAAGCCAGCTCGAGAGGCTTCAGCCCTGCTCAGCCCCAGGGTGATGAATTCCTCAGCCACAGTAATTCTTGAAGACCGTCCCCTGAGTTGTAGAAGGATCGCATCCTGCTTCCATGGAGCAAAAAGCCACACTGAGGGAATTGCTGAGCCTTGAAGCTGGTATTATTGCCCCCTTATTTTAAAGGATCATGGGAAAATGTCTTGTGATCATAATTTTATTTTAGAAGTGGAGGAGACTGGTGGGAGATGTAGCTCTGGGCCTTTAAAAGTCAACATCAAATGATCAGACTTACCTTGAGATGGTTTTGCAGGAGCTCAGATTGAATAAAGAAAGTTTGGGTGATATTGGGAGCATGTGTTTTTCATATGTAGTACTTAATTGGGTGGAAATACCAGGAAAATACATTTAGAAATGAGCTGACGTGAGGGAGAAAGTCTGATATCCTTTTTGTAATACCTAAACCCATCCACACATACGTTTCCCACCGAAGCAAAATAAAGACAAAGACACAAATCTGGGGCATCCTGTTAAAGCTTTTTTGGAAATGCTGCACTTTCCAAATACCCCTTTCACCCTCTATGCCTCCCAGTTCACTGGGAACAATTTTCCTAACAAACGCTCTCAAATGTGAGCCAGTCTGTTTATGGGTCTTGAAAAGAAAGCCCTATTCATAGGAAACAAGGAGCCGGGTCACTGCAGTGACCCACGCTCTGGGCTGGCGGGCAGCACACCCAAGCAAGGCGTGGTAAAACAAGGAAGGAGATGCTACTTACCATCTTGGCCTCTGAATGCATTGGCTGCACCTGGGGAGATGCACAGGGATTACTGAGGTTCGGGCCTTGCATCCCCATGATGTTGGAGTTTACGGACATCTGCCTCTCCATCTACAAGAGAAGAAATCAGCAGAATCAAAAATGAGTACTGAGAACAGTCCTGTGGGGTGGACCCAAATCTGCCAGGGATCTCTGGACGGACAAGTCTGGGCTCCTTTGAGTAGCCACCGAGAAAACCTGTTTGGTGGATGACACACAATGCCCATCTGAGGTCCAGCATCAACACTGTGTTGTGCCTAGAGGCAATAGCAAGCCATCTAGCTGTGGACTTTTCTGCAGAGACCTCCTCAGGGGGTAGGGGCATAGAGAGTGGTTTCAGAAGATAAAATCGTTTATTTTTCTCTAGCCCTTGAAGGCTTGCAAAGAGGTAGAGAGTACAGGTATTATGACTCCTATTTTTCAGATGCCAATCCTGAGGCCTGGAGTGGTAACATGACTGGCCCAGGGTCACACAGCTAGTGTCATCTATAGTATTTAAATGCAGCTCTCCTTCTTCAGAGCAGCTGCGTGTCATAGTGGAGAGAATGTTGGACTCTTGCCTCAGAATTCTTCTTCTTGTTTGAGTTGTTTAGTTTAGTCGGGTTTTTTTTTCAAGTCAGATTTGTGACCACATTTGGTTTTTCTTGGCAAAGATACTGGAGTGATTTGCCATTTCCTTCTCCAGCTTATTTTACAGATGAGAACACTGAGGCAGACAAGGTTAAGTAACTTGCCTGGGGTCACACAGCTAGCAAGTGTCTCAGGCCAGATTTGAACTCAGAAACATGAGTCTTCAGATATTACAATGCCTCAGACATTTACTAGAAGATAAGTTTCTTAACCTGTTTTGGCCTCAGTTTCCTTATATGCTAAATGGGAATAATAGTGACACCTTCTTCTCATGGCTGTTGTGAAGATCAGATGAGATAACATATATTAAGTATTTTGCAAACCTTAAAATGCCATACAAAAGCTAGTGGTTGTGGTGGTGATGGTGGTGGTGATGGTGGTAATGATGGTGGTGGTGATGGTGGTAATGATGGTGGTGGTGATGGTGGTAATGATGGTGGTGGTGATGGTGGTAATGATGGTGGTGGTGATGGTAGTGGTGGTGGTGGTGGTAATGATGGTGGTGGTGGTGGTGGTGCTGGTGGTGCTGGTGATGGTGGTGGTGATAGTGGTGGTGATGATGGTGGTGGTGGTGGTGGTGCTGGTGGTGGTGGTGGTGCTGCTGGTAGTGGTGGTGCTGGTGATGGTGGTGGTGCTGGTGGCGGTGGTGGTGGTGGTGGTAATGATGGTGGTGGTGATGGTGGTGGTGGTGGTGGTGGTGGTGGTGGTGCTGGTGGTGGTTATTATTATTATTCCTGATTGATAGGCTCATAGACTTATAGCTCACAGGGACCTCAGGGGTCATCTAGTCCAAATACCTCATTTTACAGAGGAGAATATTGGGGTCTAGAGAGGGGAGGTATCTTGCCTAAAGTCACACAGGGATCAGAACCAGGATTCCCACTCAGGTCTTTTGATTCGAAAGTCAGTATTCTTCCCATTGTGCCACATTAACCTTGCATCCTAGAACCTAGGACAGCGCCTAGCACAGAGAAGGCACTTAATAAATGTTTGTTAAGTGACTGACTAGTAGTTACTAGGTACTTAATAATGACTCATTGATTGACTAACATTTATTTTTTTAAATTTTGAGTTTCAAATTCTCTCTCTCCCTGCACTACCTACTGAGAATTATTCCTTTCAAATGCAGAACTGAAATGGCTTATTTTCTCCCCAGTATCTCCTTGGGAATGTGGACATATTGCCTACATGCCATGATCTGGGGTGCTGAGGTAACATGGGCATCCTGGCTCGTTCCATATTCTACTTAACAGAGAATGTTCCTACTTACCATGATCCTCAGTTTTCAAAGAATCTGAAGGAGGCCTCCCAATATACAATGCCAAAGTGGGGCTAAGGGAGCTAGAATCTTTCCCTAAACATTTACCAAGGGCCCTTAGATCCTGCAGTGTCTCATGGCGATGGCTGTGAATATCCGTCTGCATTTTGGTATAGATAGGCCCAAGTGCTGATTCACAACTCTGCCCAGCGACAACAGAAAGTGTACTCTCCAGTCCCTGTTGGCATCTTGTCTCCCCCGTTAGGATATATGCTCCTTGAGGGCAGGGGCCACAACTTCCACCTTTCTTTGTATCCAGTGCCTGGCACATAGTAAGTGTTTAATAATAACTGGCTGACTTGACTGGCAGGTCCTACTGAGCTGGAAAAGCTCTGAGCTTTAGTGATAGACTTCCTGTCCTAAAAAGCCCAGCCCAGCCACATCTACCGAAGCCCCTTCACTCATTGTCAGAAGGTTGCCCAGCAGATAGTCAAACTTGAAGGGCACAGTGATTCATGAAGGACCCTCCGCACCAGGTGATGGGGTATGGTGATCTACTTCAGCACAGGGAAATCACATCATTAAAAGTACCAATAGATGCACAAAAATATTTATGGCAGCTCTTTTTGTGGTGGCTGAGAATTGGAAAGTAAAGGGACACCCATCAGTTGGGGAATGGCTAAACAGGTTGTGGCATATGGATGCAATGAATATGATTGTGCTATAAGAAATGACAAGCGGAATGAGTTCAGATAAACCTGGAAAGACCTACACAAACTGATGCTGAGTGAAGTGAGCAGAACCAGGAGAACGAACTAATAGCATACGATCTGCCTCCAGAGAAAGAACTGATATTGACTGAATATAGACTGAAGCATGCTATTTTTCACTTTCTTTCATTTTTTTCTCTTTTATTTAAGTCTTCTTGTTTAAAATTACTAATATGGAAATGTTTTACATAACTGCACATGACCACTTACTGTCTTAGGGAAGGAAAGTAGGGATAGAATCTCGAATTCAAAACTTTAAATAAAAATGTTTTTTTAAAAAAAGTACCGATAGGGCCCTTTAGGACACCTTTGATCCTGTAATTCACTCAGTCTGAGACTGACAGCTGGAAGGGCCTCAGAAGCCATTTAATCTAATCTCTAAACTTTACAGATGAGGAAACCGAGGCTCAGAGAAATTAAGGGGGATGCCCAGGTTCACACAGCTAGGATCAGAGGCAGGATTTGAACCTAGGCCCTCCTGACTCCAAGTACATCATGGTGCCTCCTCATGTTCACAGAAGAGCAATGGGAATAAGGCCCAGGGACTTTTGGGGGTGGCGGCAGGGGAGCGTTAAAGGGGAGAACAAGTCAAGTGAAGGTGGCAAGCTTGGATGGCAGCCTGGAGTGGTTCCTCCAGACTCGGTGACTCTGTGCTCCTCTCTACCTTCTGTACCTGCTGGCTAAACAACATCTCAATGGCAGCCAGTGGGTGGTGGCCCCCAGGCCTGGCAGGGCCATGGTAAATCCTCATGCAGAGGAGGGCAGTGTGGTGCAGTGGGCAGAGCACTGTTGTGCGGAGACGGGGATCAGGAATCCAAGCCCCAGCTCAGCTAGTTATGACCTGTGCCACCCTGGGCAAGGCACAACCTCTCTGTTTCCACATATATACAATCAATCCATATTTATTAAGCACCTACTCTGTGCCAGGCTCTGTGCTAAGCACTGAGGATATAAAAGGAGGCAAAAGCCAGTCCCTGTCCTCAAGAAGTTTACAATCTTTGACACTTACTAGCTGTGTGACCCTGGGCAAGTCACTTAACCCTGATAGCCAAAGCAAAAAAAAAAAAAGTTTACAGTCAATGCGGTAGGGTGGGAGGGGGGGAGCGCTGGAGAACATACAAACCAATGTCTACAAAGCAAGCTATATACAGGATAAATCAGAGATATCAAAAGAGGGAAAGCAAGAGAATTACGATGGGTCAGGAAGGCTTCCTGTAGAGGATGGGATTTTAGGTTGGGACTTAAAGGAAGCCAGGGAGGTCAGTAGTCACAGTGGAGGAGAGAGAACTTTCCACTCATGGGTGACTCAAAGAAAATGTCAGACACAAGAGACAGAATGTCTTGGTCTTGGAAAGGCCAAGATCGAAGAGTATGTATCATGCAGTAAAGTATGAGAAGATTGGAGAGGTAGGAGGAGGAAAAATTATGAAGGACTTTGGATATGAGAGGTAGACCAAATCTGGGGGTTCTAAATTTTTATTTTATTTTTTAGGCAATGGGAGTTAAGTGACTTGCCCAGGGTTACACAGCTAATAAGTGTCAAGTGTTTGGCCTGAGGCCAGATTTGAACTCAGGTCCTCCTGACTCCAGGGCTGGTGCTCTATCCACTGTACCACCTGGCTGCCCTGGCTCTAAACTTTTTAAACTGCTTTTTCTCTTGGTAGGTTTGCTCCGAGGGGAGGGGCAGGAAATTTCTCAATGGCGCCCGGGTAACTACCACTGTGGGTGCCCCACTATTGGAGTTAGATTATACTTGTCTTGAGGAACTGATTTCTAACTTCTAAGAAGGTGTGGGAATTTCTGGGGAGGGATGGGTGGAGTAGGGGAAATGGCGGTAGGGCAGTGAAGGGTAGATGTGGTTATGTTGGAGAATACTCCTATGATTGGGTATCATGGGAAGGCTGGGATATGACCCAACTTCCCACCCTTGAGTTAACCCATTTTGTGCAATTAATCCATTTTGACAGATAGAGGGCTTGAGGCACAGGAAAGCAGGGTATTCCAAGCAACAGGGATTCTATAATGAAGTGAGGAGGAAGGTAGACACATTGGGCATGCAGCCAGTGCTTTGCTCCAAAACATAAAAGTCTCTTATTTTCTGACCATTTTGGAGAGACATTTTGGTATTGGAAAGAGTGATGGAATTGTAGTCAGAAAGGATTGGGTTCATATTCCACCATTTGAAGTTTATTAACTGTGTCTAGTCATTTCACCTCTAATCTAATCTGGGCAACTGTCTCAGACTTAGCTACTAAGGGGTTGTGATGGGTGAGGGAGAGAGAGATAGTTCTTAGCTTTTTTTTTTTGGTATTGGGGGTAGGGGGCTGGACCCCTTGGACAGTCAGTCTGGTGAAGCTTAGGGACTCCTTGGAATCATGTAATTAGATGCATAAAATAAAATACATAGAATTACAAAGGAAACCAATGATATAGAAATACAGTTATTAAAAAAACCCACCAAATTCATGGACCTCAGGTAAAGATATAAGACAATATAAAATATAAGTGAAGGCAATAGGATGGGCAAGGAATAGGAGAGACAGCTAGGAAACAGAAACCCTTACCGGCATCAGGACTGCTGAAGAGCCGGGCATGGTAGGGTTCGGCAGGGTCCCGGGCATAGAGGCTGGCATGGGCTGTCTTTGTCTGTTGTGAAGGTGCAGTAGTGACGATAGAGAGCCTGGGACAGGCCTAGGAAGGAAGGAAGGAAGGAAGGAGAAGTCACCATCATTCTCAGCCATTCTCAGTGTATCAGTACTGGGAATTCCATGCCCAAGAGATGCAATTCACCAATAGAGTATGCGTGTCAACGGGGATCTTGAGGGAAAATAATCAGATTTTCCATCCATCAATTAATCAATAAACATTTATTAAGTGCCTACTACATACCAGGCATTGTGCTAAACACTGGGGTTACTAAAAGAGGCTAAAGACAGTCCCTGCCCTCAAGGAGCTCATAATCTAATGGGGGAGACAATGTACAAACAAATACATAAGAAGTAAACTAGATGCAGGATGAACAGGATAAATATTCATTATGATGGCTTGTTCCCACACTGCTGTAAGGTTCGAGAAGCACTTAACAGGCATTCTATAATCAAGTCCTTTCGATCTCTGAGGAAGCATTAGGACATTGAGCAGAGTTCAGAATCCAGAAAGGACGTGGGGTTCAAAACCTCTGTCATGCAAATGCTGGAGAAAATGTGGAAAAACTGGGACACTAATGCACTGCTGATGTAATTGTAAATTAGTCTAACCATTCTGGAGAACAATTTGAAACTATGTCCAAAGGGCTATAAAACTGTGCATACCATGACTAGGTTTGTATCCCAAAGAGATCAAAGAAAAGGGGAAAGGGCCTATATATACCAAAACATTTATAGCAGCTCTTTTTTGTGGTGGCAAAGACTTGGAAATTGAGAGGATGCCCATCAATTGGGGAATGGCTGAACAAGCTGTGGTCTATGAAAGTAATGGAATGTTATAAGAAATGATGAACAGGATGGCTTCAGAAAAACCTGGGAAGACTTAAATGAACTGATGCAAAGTGAAATGAATAGAACCAGGGGAACATTATATACAGTAACATCAATACTGTATGATGAAGAATTGCGAATGACTTAGCTATTCTCAGCAGTACAATCACCCAAGACAATTCCAAAGGACTCATGATGAAACATGCTATCTGCCTCCAGAGACAGAAATGATAAACTCTGATTGCAGCTTGAGACACACTTCTTTTTTACTTCCTTTATGTGTGTGTGTGTGTTTCTTGTGCAATATGGCTAACATGAAAATACTCACATGTATAATCAATATCAAATTGTTTGCCTTCTCAAAGGGTGGGGTAGAGGCAGGAGTGAGGGACAGAATTTAGAATTCAACTCTTAAAAAAAATGAATGTTAATTTTTTTTTACATTTAATTGGGAAATAATTAACTAAATAAAAATATATTTAAATGTTGAAAAATGACCCTCTGTCAATTACTGCATGTGTGAAATTGGCCAAGACACTTATGATTATCAGAACCTAGATTTAGAGCTTGAAGGAAACTCATCGAGTCCAACTTTTTCATTTTACAGGCGAGGAAACTGAGGCCTAAGGAGAGACGTGACTTGTTCAGTGTTGCACAGCTAATAAACAGCAGAGCTGGGATTTGAATCCAGGCCCTGGGACTCCAAAGGCAGCCCCCTTTCACTGTGCATGTGGCCTCCAACTTTACCTTTCTCCTCCCTCCTCTCCTCACTTGTAAAACGAGGGGGTTGGTTGTGGTGACCCCTACAGGCCCTTCCTGCTCTAAATCTATTTTTTAGGGACCTAGGCTGGGGTATGGTCACATGTGTCCTCCCTGGATCAATAACGCATGTCATTCCTTCCATCCCGGGGGGGCCTCTCCTGGAAGCCTGGTCTCTTTGTAGGCAGCCCCAAGTCCTCACTCCCTGCAGGGCCAACTTCATCTGCTAGGTCACAACAGAAATCTGCTGGAGCTTCTCTTTGGGATGAGGAAGCAAACTGAAACCTCGGGTCCCAGCTTCCCCTACACAAAGAACCAAGGGCAGCTTCACCCTCCGTCACTCGGGCTTCCGCTGGGAGACTGGAGATTCCAGGCCCCCAGTTAGACATCAGCCATTTCATAATAACTCAAGGTGTTAGGCTGTTTGACAGAAACTCTCTGATTTTCGGCCTGACCTCCAGGACTTGTGCAAGCCATCCTCTGGGGAGCCCCAAATCTGAGCTTTGCCATCGCACAGAAAGAGGAAAAAAAAACCCTTAAATGGATTTAATGAGTCAGGGAACATGGGACTGAGGGAAAAGGGAATTTTGTGTTTATTAAAAATGGCAAATAAGCTCATTCCCTTTAGTAGTCGTCCCCCTCAACTCTGGGGAATCTGCATAAAGGTTTAAAAAAAAATGACAACATCTCACAACATTCCAGGTGGCTCATTTGTGATAACTTTACCCTGAGTGTTGCCCTTAGAAACATAAAGCTGCATTTACTGCTGGCTTCCTTGCTGTTCCATGACACTATTTCCAACTCCAGGCACTTCGCTGGCTGCCCCCCATGCCCCAAATGCTCCCCCTCCTCACCTTTGTCTCCTGCTTTTCCCAGCTTCCTTCAAGCCCCAGGTAAAATCCCACCTTCTACAAAAATGTTTTCCTGATCCCCCTTGATTCTAATGTCTTCTCTGTTGCTAATTTTCAATGTATCCTGAAAATGTCTTCTTTGTACATAGTTGCTTGCATACTTTCTCCCCCAGTAGACTCAGCAGACACAAGATATGGGCAGTACAAAGATGAATTGTTAGGAGAATCATCCGAGCAGCCTGGTTACATTATAACATCGCTTTAAAAATAATACGAAGATCAGAAATTGCTAGAACTGTTAAATCATGGTTATTAGTCCAGTAGGATGGACAGATCATCCTTGAGACTTGTTTTTGCTTTTGTATCCTCAGCCCAGTGCCTGGCACATAGTAGGCTGTTTGTTGGATTGGACTGAATTAGTGGGAAGATGTGGGAGGCCAAGACACACAACAAGATTCGAGCTTCCTTCTCTGGTTCATACAGCCGGACGCAGCAAAAAACAACTACCTTTGCCACTTTCTTTGCCAGAAATGATCAAAAGGCTCCTTTAGAAATTCTAGCTGACCGTCTCAGGTACATCCATGTTGGGATATTAATTACAAATATGCACGGATCCACAGAGTCATATGCCTATAATTTCTCCAACTTCTCTAAGTGCTTATAGACAAATAGTTAAAGTTATAAATATATATGTATGCTCGCATTCAAGAAATGTGTAGGGAAAAACAAGAAAGTGAAATCTATATACAGATAGAAGAATCAATGTGGTGAAACAGAAAGTGTGTTGGCTTTGGAGGCAGGAAGAAGTAACTGGGTTCAAATCTCTTATAATCTATGTAATCACCCTGTGACCATGGGAAAAAGTTCACCTTTCTGAGCCAAAAAGCTAAAGACAGGTTGAGATCTGCATTAGTGGAGGGAAGCCCACATCTGGAAGTCTTTGAAAGAAGGGTCACCTAGACCAGTCTCTTCCTTTTAGTAGCAGAGGAAACTGAAGTCCAGGGAGTTGGTGACTTGTCCAAGATCTAACAGGTAGTTCCCGACCCAAAAGTAGGATTTGAACCCACATCTTCCAATTCAGAATCGAGTATTCTTTTCCCTAGCACAATTTACTCTATCTTTAATCATTCTAAACATCTTTTAAGATATTCCAAGTATCTCAGGGATCAACCTCCAGCTGGAACGGACCCTCATTAAGTCCAGCCTCTTAATTTTACAGATTGGAAAACTGAGGCCAAGGAAGGTGAAGCACCTTAGGTTACACAGGTAATCAGTCAGTGGTAGAGCTGGGATCACAATCTGCGTCCTCTGACTTCAGTCTGGTGTTCTTTGCCCTGCACCAAGCAGGGACAGTTTTATGGACATCGCCCATCATCATACGGAATGATAAAAGTTGGCCCAGGTGAGTGTAGGGGGTGGGGCTCCATGTTTCTTTGGATTTAAATTAATCCCATACATTAGCACTCCAAAGGACTGGATCTCAGCCACAGAAGTGGCTTGTGCTTTTAAAAACTGGAAGCAGAATACTTAACCTATCACTTTCTACTACAAAGTTAATTTTTGATGTTATGAAACATCAGAGTAGCTCCTTTACTTTCTGGATACATAGCTGAATCAGAAAGACCTGGGTTCAAGTCTTGCCTTTGATACAATAAATAGCTCTGTGACCCTGGACAAGTTACTTCTCAGTGTCCCAGGCAACTCTCTGAGGCTAAGTTACAAGGAGTTTCCACACTGATAAAATTATAGGCTCTCCCTCCCCCAACAAAAATTAGATTATAAGTGGAGAATTGAGGCAATTATAAGGATAAATCAGCCTATAAAACATTTTTGCCTGAAATATCCAGATAATTGAGGCAAAAGTGGTTTGGGGTCAGAATTATTGGAGTAATTGCTTTAATTCTCCACTTCCCTTTGTATATGCAGACATCACCATAATTGTTATGATAATATATTGCACTCATATGATGGTTTAAACTTTTCAGGTCAACAGAGAATAGGGTGGTGGATATGATTTCCTTCATTATTCAGACACGGAAACTGAAACTCCAAGACTCTGTCTTTGTGTCCCACAAGGCAGTGAATGACAGAGCCCAGAGCCAGCCTGACTTCAGCCTGCTATCTCCACACCTGAGTGTGGAGCAGCGAGGGATTCTTAGTCTAAAGCTCGGTGAAAAGAAACTTTTCACCACATATTCATGTGTTCTCAACCTTTCTTTGTGTCATGGGCCCCTCTGACACTCTGGGGAAGCCCAAGGACGCCTGCTTAGAATGATGGTTTTAATGCATAAAATAAAATACATAGGATTACCAAGGAAACCAATTATATTGAAATCATTATCAAAAGACTAAATAAAAAAGATTAATTCCAGATTAAGAAGCCTGGGTTCATTCCCATCTTTATTCTCATGATTTTTTTCAGAGCAATTTGTAGAGTAATGCTAGGATACCTCAGTGTAGCTAAGATAAGAGATCATGAATCCATTTTAAATGACATTGTTCTTCCTCCCCTTCCTTTTCAAAAACTTTATAAATCATGCAGAATGAAGGCTAGGAAAATAAGACTGTGAAATCGTAGCAGTTGTGCAAACAAAAAATCAACAGC